TAAAGGTATGGACCAACTGTATGCAGTCAACATATACTGTATCCTACAGCATATTGGAGTTACAGTGGGATCATTGAAGGAGTAAAACATTGAGTTAAGGTCACTCTATGTGCGCCATATGCACCGGATACAATAGTGTTTGTTGGTAAAAAGGGTATTGCATGAAGAACGCTGTTGCGTATTAATGCAATATTTGAATGTGTCGAAATTTGCATAATCATCGACCATTAGGTGTTTCTGGAAAATGCTTGATCGATATCCATACATAAATGATCGATTACCTAATTTGATCGACAAGACACTTGTGTTGTGTATTATTGATCACTAATGTTCCCACTCGGTACTGGACGGCTTCATTATTCCGAGCCGTGTGAGCTTTCCGTTTTTGGCCTGGTCTGTGATGGGAAATCTCGTCAAGCCGAAGATTTTCTCGCCATAAATTGCGCAATCCATCAGGATTAGCCGCTCCTGATACGTTACCAGCAGTTAATCGTCCAAAAACTCCTAATATACATTGACGTATGGGAATTCCAAACAAAATAGTTCATAGAAGATTAAAGACACGTGGAATCAGGTATGCCAAAACATCCAAGGAACAATGTCAATGGTCTGATATGATTTTCTAGGATACAGTTATACATAATTTTGCCCCAATAACTCGCCACATACGTCACTTTCTGATTGGCCCTTTCTTAGAATAATGTGTCTGTGTAGGGTTCATACTACCGTGTCCTGGTATGTATGCCATTTGTGCGAGATAACACTTTAAAATTACCATGTAGCACCCCATCCTAAGACCAAGGAGCGACACGACTTATGGATTGCCAACAAATTGGAAGAAAAAATAAAGTTTTACTTTAAAAACTAAATTAATTTGCGTCGTTGAGTTTCGCTTTGTGAACATTTCTGCCGATAAAAGGCTTTTAAATCTGGCATTTAGTAACAGTATACTCAACATGTGTCACCTTTTATCAACTGGACATTGCTACACAATCGACGTTGCTAGCAACTCGAAATAACTGTATACGTTCGCAATCAGGTAAAGCCACGGAGTTAATTTTCATTTGGTCGGAATCAATGTATTAGCTTGAAAAAACAAATATGGGTTTAACCTGTTTTGATTCCCTTGCTTTTTGTTGTCTTTTAACGTGTTAAGTTTCTGGGTTCGTAGGTATGATTCCCAAGATTTGAACTTTTGGACTGTATGCTAGGATCCAGAAATCAGAACAGTTTTCAGGGCTACACTTTTGAGTTCTAAGGAAGACTAACTTGATGAAACAAGTGTGCATAGGCGTATTGGAGCCCTGAGTTATCAACCAATTTAAGGCTGCTAACAGTTTTGTTCAATATATGTGTATAAGTATCGTTTATCAAAAGGTAGTCACGACTGCATACCTGTATATGACCACTGTATTAAAACATGTGAGGGAAAATCTAACGTGGCACGACATGCAAGGCCTCATTTTACCAATCAAAGTCAGAGCGGGTATTGATTAATGAATCAGTATTTTGATGCAGAAGAACGGACAATTCAATACTTTCGCTTTACCACATACTCTGGAGCAGATTATGTGACAAATTTGCATAATTAATTTTTCGAGCTCCTGAAGAACAGATCCTCCGGAATACAATAAGCTTTGTTTTGTACATTTTGTCCCTGATCTGGAGGTGACTCCTGGTGGTCAGAGCCTTGTTGTTTGGTAATCATACAATGGCCGACAATGGTCCTCAATTCATCACAATATAAGGAGTTATGCATATTTTCTAAAATAAAAAAATACGTTGAAAAATCGAACAATTACAAACAATTAACTAGTTCATATTCTTTAATCTTTTGAACTGTTATCCAGTCTTGGAATTTTAAGGGCATTTTATGTAGGGTATATTATATCTCTTTTCAGTATTAAAACAAATGCATTTGCTGACCATAGGTGTTACGAAGACATGAAACGACAGCAAATTCCAAACTCAAATAAATCCAGAAAAACGATAGAACGTCTGCAATGTATTTTGTAGTTCTTTGTAAAATAGTTGCATGTATATATCCGACTTGTGCTCAAGTCAGTTGGCGGGAAAGTAGTGTGAGGCTGTCGTGATGGCTCTTTAGTCTATCGGCTTGGAAAGTAATTGTAGGCGAATCTGTTTTACACGTATGTAAGAGTTTCCGAAGACAGCGTTCCCTGAAGTCAGACTTGTCATATACATGTGCATGTCTCTTTGCCACAGCGGGACCCTCCATTCTCGCATGACATCCACAACCAACCTGTCAAATTTACTTTTGTATAAATTTGTTGCTAAGTGAAGCCCATTACAGAGAAACACGCATTGTAATTCCAGATTAATACCAGGCATCAACTACTGCGGTATTGAATTTATAAAAGGCATTTCATATTCCTAGAGCCATTAGTAAAACGTCATAAAATGTATCCCTAAGGGATGTCCGATATACACGAACCCCGCCACAGATCTCCATTGAGTAACGCATTTTATCAGACACGTATATATCTGAATCAATTTGTTTTCCCTTGCGAAATTAAAGTATGGTAAGACAATGGAACTGCACTTTTCATCGACGAAACGAAATAAAACGATTTGAGATTAAAAGTCTAACTAGATCGGTTCATCTTCTGATCATGTTGGTTTGAAATGTCAGTCGGTATCAAATTGACAAATGTAGCAACTGAACAATATCAATGTAAAATTTGTCAATTTCCAATTATTTCTTTGCTGTAACAGTCATCTCACTTGAGAATAACGTTTATCTCCCTTGATATTTATATTGGAAAGGAATGCTTTGAAAAGTGAAGGAAGCGACCTTAAGTGACACAAATTATTTGCGATATTCATAACTGTCTGTGTTGGATATGAAACTCATTTACGCGTTATTTACTAGTCACATCTGAAGAGTTCACCGCTAACGTCCGTCGAAGTGTTGATTCGATTGAGCTTGACTGTTTCTTATATAAGTTAACTGATATCCGCTGTAAGGTGACATGTCCTGGAGTGGTGTCTGTGATGAATGCTTACATCTGCCGATAATTACCTCCGGTCAATCCGACGTGACCATACGACACAGGGCGTTATAAATACGACATCCCCTACTTACCTAGTTAACCTACACGACAATTTCACTTTGCTTTGTATATCAGCGTCACTCTGTCTATTCGTTCGCCCGTCCACATTTGGATTGTCCATAGATTTCCGACTAATTTTTTTCAACCAAATTTTATGAATCTTTACTCAAGTCTTTTTGACATCAATCTCAAGAGTACAGTTGAATTTCAAGGTCATACGTTCAGGGTCAAGATCACAGTTACCGAATATCTACATGATGACGGGATAACTAGATAATTAGTTTGTCTGTAGGTTTCTGGCAAAAGTTTGGAATCAAATTTCCTTTTAAACTTTTATTGACATTCGATGAAACACGTTTGTATCAATTTCTGTCAGTCATTGGGTAACGTACAGGAGAAACCAAAGTACACTAGAGGTCGGGCAGGTGAACACGTATATATTCAGGTCTGATTTGGGAATCGAACCGCGGCCGTTGTGGTGAAGACGAGTGCGCTCTCCATTGCGCCACCCGACCACCTATGACAAGTACATGTCAAAGCCCTTTTTAAGTGGGAAGGGTCAGCGGCCTCAAATACTTGTGGTTGATGCAAATACATATAATAATACAAGGCTCACTAGCGGATAGCGCACTTACGTTTCAACATGACGACCGTGGTTCGACTCCCAAATCAGAGGTGCAAAGGTAAATCGTGTCACCTGCCCGACCATGTGGGTTTTCTCTAGGTACTCCGGTTTCCTCCCACATTACAGACCCACTGGCGCTTCCAATATTATTAATTGATATCAATTGAAAAACTTGTTTTATAATTGTTGTAATATAATTAAAGATTGAATTATATATTGCTAACTAATACAGTATCTACATCTCGCAGAAGAGTTTGGATGAAATACTTAAATGACTGAATTTATATTTGAAGCTGACAATACTATGTAGTGCTGCCAGACGGTGGTTAATTAGCCTAGTAATAATCCCCTAACATCTCTTTTGTTGTGACGCAATCACCGCCCATAAACCATAAACACGAGCTTCAGGCCCCGCTACTGATGCTGGGAGGAACCGACGGTCCCTAACGATGATGATGAGTGTCGGTACTATGTTTTATGCTCTCAGTCTAGCCAGATCTAATAAGGGTCATGCCGTTTATGTGGAGAACCTCTAATTGCCTATAGATTAATTGTCCAATAGCTTGCTGAAGTATTGATGCACTCTCGCCTCGCGTTCTCGTTCGATACCTCAATAATCTGAGTATTACACCTGTCAAGGAAGATACATGCATTAACTTATTAACTATTAGCTCTGATAGATTTCATAAAGATTTAATTCCGTGCTGATAGATTTTACAAAACTGATGATTTCAATTGGCCCTGCATTATATACGAGTAGTTTTATTTATAAAGTTAGTCTTCAAATGATGAGAAGCGAATGTGTCCACTTCAGAAACCGACTTCAGTAAGTCTACAATTTTGGCCCTCTCAATTAACCCGGAGGAAAATTTAACTTCAAAATATCTTCTGGACATATATGTTACGATGAGGAAACCCCGCATGAAATACCAGGATGATCAACGGCAACTTGTAGAATGACAGTCGGTAAGGCTCTCGTTACATGCAGGATTGCTGGAGTTATCTCCCTTCCACTGCATCTCCATCCAACACAACGCGCGTGAGAGTCTATCGTGCATGCACGATCAAGCAACGCTCTATTTGACGAGTGCTTTTTATTTTGGGCAAAACATTCAGTAGACCTAGCACAATCTTTAGGGGAATACTTTGAAAGGGTAAAAAATGGCCTGTTTTATTTCCTCAAAAATTAATCAAAATTGTACCAATGTACGTTTATAATATGATGTAATAGGGGCTGTTTTCGAAACTTAAAATGTTCATAACATATTCTCCTTATCTTATCAATGTTTTTACTGTTACAGGTAACTTTAAAACTGCTGGAAGCAGAGAAGCGGAAACTTGAAGTTTGGCAGAGAGAACTTAGCAGCACACTCAGCCATGACAACTACAACATGGGCATACGAAGGGTAAGTTTACATACCATCCCTTCTACCGTTCCCGGCTCCCAGTGAAATAGCACTCTTATGAAGAGACAAGATTATAATCTACCAACCCCATTCAACACCACTCCTTAGAATATATGATAAACAAGCAAAGTGCTTTTTTTTTTACTAAATGCAAATCTTGTGTGTAGGATTTTTTTTTATATACTTACAGAAACAGCTCGTCCCTTAAATATATTTAAAAAATAGTGTAACAATGCAATGACAAATTGACTCGTAGAATTGCAATTATCTTCAAATAATTGAAGATGAGCACAGTTAATTAACTGTTTAATTCAGTTGAAAATATCTTCAATTCAGTTCAAGATAGATTGGACCTATTAAATATAGGTTCAATCTATCTTGTACCCATTTTTAACTATTTGAAGATTGTAGTTGCAATAATTTGAATATTGATTCGGCTGCATTCCATATGTGACAAGCACCTTTTGAGTTAACTGTTATAGGTCAACTTTACAAATTGTTTTTGAACCAATGCAGTCAGTGTGTATATTAATGTTTTGATAATTATTTTTGATGTCTTTTTTCCAGAAGAAAGCTGTTCAACAGCTGGAGATGAATGTGAGGTGGGTTAATGTTCAGGATCTATAATGATGCTAACAACTAGCTGTGTAATGACACCGAATTAGATTATCTAAGTCCGTGGTAATGACCAGCCAGCCTTATTTCTGTTATGTTATCAAATAACACAAAGCCAAAAGTTGCTTCATATATATACAGAATGTTTGTGATGATATCTCAAAAGAAACATGAAATATGCATTCCATAAAATGTAACAGTTTATCTTTATTATATATACTTTGTAGTATTACCCTTGTCTGTATACATACTTCTGGCTGGTAAAAGATTTTGCACGTAGGTCAGTTATGTACCTTTATGTTTAGAACATGCCGCGTATGACCTTGACCTCTGTGACCTTGCTTTATGAATAATTATAATTCTTAAGTATGGTAGTGGAGCATTTGTGTTCTGCAGACACATATCTTATTTATCATTTAACTTCACATGATATTGATCAAATTGCAGCACTCGCAATTTGCTATCATAGAAAACAAAAATAACATTTCTTTGTTTTAAGATTAAACAGGCAAGGGCATATGATGACAGATCTTATTCAAAGTCATATTTTATCAAATCTAGCTGGAACAATGAATGTGTCAATGTATTTTAAGAGTTTTCATTGACTTAAGTAGAGGATATGAATTTCAAATGTTGTAACAAAAGATTTGTTTTAGCAGCTAGAACAAGTCTAAAACTATTGTATCAAAAGTGTTGAAGATTTAGTGTGTGATCAGTTAGGGTCCCAAATGCAATAACAGTCAACTATAGTTAAAATATGAGATTTTTAATTCATAACAAATGTTTTAGCCGAATCCAGCAGCAGTACAGTCAGTTAGAACAGGAATATAAAACAGCAGCCATGGGAGCCATGAAACGCAAGTCTAACAAGAAGAGGGTGAGTATACCTGTTAATGAGTATAACTTGTGCCCAAGGCCACTTTAAAGTGGCACAACACTGAATTATCACAGCTTGAACACGGCAGCATGCTGTCCTACCAGTCACACTATTCTGTTTATGAGCATGTTTAGTAGTATCTGTTAGTGAGTCTGTATGATACAATAATGTTTGTGAGTAACTGTATGTGAACATGCATGTTTTTGAGTACAAGTTGTAAAGGAGTAAATAATTGTTAGTGAGCATATTAATGTTTGCAGGTTCTCAGAGGACTGGCTGTGCTCTGCTAAAGCCGTCCTCTATTTCTTCATTGTTTCCCGAAAAACAGGAAAACAAGAATTCATGATAAACTTGTTATTTTTGTGGTTTCTTGTCGATCAAACCATCTTCAATGTTTTAAACATGCTAATTTAAATATTGTAAGAGTTACTTACTTGAAACATAATGAAGTTTGTAATAGAAATCAAAATCAAAAATAGCTGCTTTACATTAAATGTTGGACTTACAGAGTTTTGATGAATGATTTTTATATCAATGCAAAGCAGTAATAGTTTATAAGATCTCCATTAATGTTTCATGATGTACTCAGACAGTGCATCTGTATGGCAAAATTGATATAGATTTGAAATATCATAGCTAGAGTTATTTCCCTTTGTACAGTTGGCTTGACCATGGTATCAAAGAAATGATATACTTTTTATATGAATTAAGTTATAATAAATTTCAACTGTCAACATCTTATATACTTCATGAAAAGTTTGGACCATGGAGCATTCAGGATTCAAAAAACCTTTTATCTGTTTTCCTCAATTTATGTCAGAACCCTGTCATGACGCCAACATTTCTCTGATCAAATGGCGGCGGCAGCAGTATATCATGGTTTTACTCTAAATAGTTTTATATGACGGATCACCCTGGACCAATATTAGTTCTTGGATGTTTTGTTTTTGTCTAGAGTTGACTTGCTTGAATAAAAGTCTCTTGTGCTCCACTGAATGTCAACATTGAGATGGTTTTATTTCAACAATGACGGCCATAATTACACTGCCAGTCTAGGTGAGCTGTATACCAATGTTATCAAACCAACATGACAGCAAAAAAGTGGAGCATATCTTTAGATTGATGTGGGTTTTATCGTGATAGATATTTTCTTTCAGTAGAAAATCTACAACAATGTCAAATTGATTGGTGGGATACTGTTTCTTGTAATGGAATGTGGAGCAGGAGAATCCTTTGTAGACAGCCTAAGAGTAGTTACATTTTGGGAGAGAAAGGGGGGAAACAAATGTCGGTCAAACTAAGGAGAATATATGAGATGACCGTTGGGAAGATAGATTTTAGACAGCAGAGATCCCAAGACTTTACACATCTCTCAGTCTGATCCGTTTTCTATAACAGAGCTGTCCTGTTCTGTTGGGATCTGTCTGGGTCATGATGTGTCTGCTTTTGTGATAAGTCCTGCTGGACTTTTGCCTGTACTGTTTGGCCCTTCGTGGTAATGGCCAGTAGTTTTAGGGAGAGTGATACGGTAATGGCCAGTATCCACAAACTTCTGTAGATACAGCATTACAATAATGGTTCTGGTGTCAGTAAATATTGATATATATCTAGTCTTGTCGGGGATCTTCCAACTTTTTTGTTTGTCTGGTAGACTTTGTGTTAGAACCATTATAGCTGTCTATAACAGCTAGGTATAGGTATCTTCGGTTTCTTTCACATTTTACTTGAGATGTCTATTCAGCTATCTTCGTTTTCACAAGAAATGTTGAATTTACATTTTTAAAACTTTAGATGAAGATATCAACAATTCCTTTTCTCCATCTGTAATTACCTTGTCCTATTGCAGGATAAAATGGGGGGGCATTTAGTGTTGCCCATGTCAGTCCCGTCCCGTTGCGTCGCGTCCTGTTCCATCCATGAGCGTGGGCATTTAGTCTTGCAGACATTTTCTAATTTTTTTTTATTATTTAGGGAATAGGGCCTGTGCATCTGGAATTGGGAAAATTACGTTTCAGTTATCCAAACTGGGAACTTCTATAGAATTATACCAAAATGTTCATATATATTTAAAAAAGAAAACGTTGCCATCTAAAAGACTAACAAACCCTTGTCATCAGAATTTATGCTAAAAATTCCTTCCCAAAATGGTCCCCAAAAAGCGAAGTAGTCCACATGAATCTGTTTGTCCACAGTGTCTTAGGTTAGTGTGTTTAGGATGTAACCTATTGTATATCTAGTTGCCTTATCATGGAGTATCAGTTTTCTTCATGATCTTTTAGTCTGTGGCTTTTGTCCATCTCATGATCTTACCTTGGTGTGCTTGTCTATTCAGGATGTAGTTGTTTTCCATTTAGTCTCCTTGCTCTGGTATGACCTTTTGTTCATTATGTGTCTTTTTGTCTTCCTTGCTACAGAACCTGTGCCTTAATTGTGTGTCTGCCTTTAGGATGTGTCCTTTTGTTCAACTTGTGCCCTTTCAGTATTTGTTCAGTATGGATAATTTTGTCTATCAAGTTTCCTTGACTTGGTGTGAGCATTAGCTTATTCTTCTTTAATTAGGTCGTCTTGACCTTGACTTGACAGTCAAAGATCAGATGATCAGTTCAATGAAATTTTTTCGTTACCCTTAAACCATTGAATATATGTTAATAAATCCTAAGTAAATGTAACCTGCATAAGCCATGGCAGATGTGCAGTGTTCCATAATTAGGTCACTGTGACCTTTACAGATAGGTCAAAAGTGCAGAATTTTCAGTGAGGTCTTGTCCTGGCTGTTAAATTTAGTCTGTTGACTTTATCTCTGTTATTTCCATATTATCTCTCTTTTTTTATTTATTGAAGCTCTTTCTTTTTTGTCCTTAACCTGGTGATGTTGTTTGTAAATGTAGCGGAAATGGACTGTGTCATTTTCCAGTGACCAGGTAGCTCAGTTTGTTAGAGTGTCCGTCGAGAGTTTGGAGGTCCTGGGTTGGAATCCTAGTCAGGCTGTCCATTTCTCTTCTCCTATAACTTATGTCCTGCAATCTGTCCCGTGTCTGTGGGGTGTCTTCCTACAACCTATTTGTTTGGTGTCCTTTACTTGGTGATGTTGCTGCACTTGTTACAAGTCAAAAGTGGTGTTATTAAAATGTATAAATAAAATTCTCTACGGAAAACTGTGCTGTTTTGCCATATAAATACATGTCTTCAAAAACTCTTTTTGATGTCTCAATTTATGTTTGTTCTGTGATGGATTTCCATGCAGTGAACCTTATATTTATTTTTATGTATTACCTGTAACAAACGAGGACCTTTGATTAGTTAAATATCTTTAGACTAAATCAATCTTTATCTGTCTGTATGAAATGAAGATTTGTGGTGTGAGTTGATAGTCCTTTGTTATTCTGTCTTTATTGATCAGTAGAAGGGTCACCATTCATCAACTTACTCATGTGTGTTACACAATGGTCCTAATCAATCTTCATTTACTGTTTTAAGTTAAAACAGTTCACAATACTATTCAAGGCAGTTGTCGGCCAGAATGTATTTGTTTCCTCTTTCTTATAAAGTAGAAGGTTATTTATCCAAGCACTGGTGGCTTTTCAAGTAATGCAAATCTGTCTTTATACTGATGAGAAACAAGGACTGCAAATCTGTCTTTATACTGATGAGAAACAAGGACTGCAAATCCGTCTTTATACTGATGAGAAACAAGGACTGCAAATCCGTCTTTATACTGATGAGAAACAAGGACTGCAAATCCGTCTTTATACTGATGAGAAACAAGGACTGCAAATCCGTCTTTATACTGATGAGAAACAAGGACTGCAAATCTGTCTTTATACTGATGAGAAACAAGTACTGCAATTCTGTCTTTATACTGATGAGAAACAAGGACTGCAATTCTGTCTTTACAGATGAGAAACATATTAGTACTGCAAATCTGTCTATACAGATGAGAAATATATTAGTACTGCAATTCTGTCTTTACAGATGAGAAATATATAAGTACTGCAAATCTGTCTATACAGATGAGAAATATATTAGTACAGATGAGGAATATATTAGAAATATATTAGTACAGATGAGAAATATATTAGTACTGCAAATCTGTCTATACAGATGAGAAATATATTAGTACAGATGAGAAATATATTAGTACAGATTAGAAATATATTAGTACAGATGAGAAATATATGAGTACTGCAATTCTGTCTTTATACAGATGAGAAACATATAAGTACTACAAATCTGTCTATACATATGAGAAATATATTAGTACTGATGACAAATATATTAGTACTGCAAATCTGTCTTTACAGATGAGAAATATATTAGTACTGCAAATCTGTCTATACAGATGAGAAATATATTAGTACTGCAAATCTGTCTATACAGATGAGAAATATATTAGTACTGCAAATCTGTCTATACAGATGAGAAATATATTAGTACTGCAAATCTGTCTATACAGATGAGAAATATATTAGTACTGCAAATCTGTCTATACAGATGAGAAATATATTAGTACTGCAAATCTGTCTATACAGATGAGAAATATATTAGTACTGCAAATCTGTCTATACAGATGAGAAATATATTAGTACTGCAAATCTGTCTATACAGATGAGAAATATATTAGTACTGCAAATCTGTCTATACAGATGAGAAATATATTAGTACTGCAAATCTGTCTATACAGATGAGAAATATATTAGTACAGATGAGAAATATATTAGTACATGTACTGCAATTCTGTACATCCTTAAAAAATGTCCTTAGCTGTTATTAGGACTATAAACTGTTTTAAACAAAAGCAAATCAAGAGGCACAGTCTACACATTTTTATATTTTCTATTTATTTAATACATACCAAAGAGTATAAAAAGGGCAAAAAGCAAGAAATGTCACCATAACCATCAGGATTCAATAAAGGACTTAATTGAATCCATAATTGAATTTTTAATGTGTTTCAAAATGTCTGGAAGCCATACCTAGCTATTGCTTACCTTGAAATCAAC